GAAGAAGAAAAGGAGAATCTCAATCATACCAGGTACGAGAACCAGGTCCATATTTCTTAGGATGAGAGTTCCAAACGTTGGAGTGCCCCATTATTTCTTCACCTCCAAACCCTAATTTTGAGGGGCCGCCGAGCAGGAGAAGGAAGTTCGTGGAGATTCTGACGCTTAAAAAACCCTACTTTTGCACAACATCGACTGAGGATACGCCTTTTATCCCAGAAGAATCTTGTATGATCCGCATGGTGCTATACACGATGGTCATGAGGTTATCGCCGTCAAATGCTAATTTGAACAGTAGAGCGAGTGGATCCCATCAAAAAGGTCACAAATGCATATATAAATCCCACACTCGACTATAGCCGTCCAGTTATCTAGTGGATGGTTATAATCTGCATTTTCATATGATGACTATTAAGGAGCCATCACAGCCCAATCTACTAAGCCATTGATTGGATGATAACAATCCAACTAGTCAGATATTTTCCATAGCGTGTGGTTTCTATAAGGTTGCAAACTTAAACAATCTAATTAAGGTGCACCTCCAAATTTTATAGTTATATGTAATTTTGGTATAAAAATTTTTAGAATTATCTCAAAATTTATATTTATATCAAATTATAAAATTTTAAACTTCAAAAATGGCTAAAATCAAGCTGATCCATAAATATATGAAAATTTGTAAAATGGATGGTCTAGATAATGTGTTGTAAGATGCATTATTTCTAGGGTTCAAAATCGTTTTTTTTTTTTTTCATATTCATACATCTCGTTATTGAGATGATTAATTAAAGGGTTTTTCAACATTAAAATAATATTTTATGGTGGATTATTGAGGTGCATTCATAATTCTACATTTTAAAGTTGCAACCTTATATCAACTTTTTTCTTTTCCATATATTTCTATTGATATCATCTCTATATTCATCATCTAATGGAAAATTGTTTCATGCAGCGGCGACCACATTTATGCATTTGCAGTCCTCGAGGTATAAAGCATCCATCTCAAAGATGGAAGCAAATAGGTGGTCCATCTAAAAAGAATTGAAACTAACAGTCTAAATATTTCTTTAATAGAATTATTATTTTTAATTTGTATAGAGCCGAGGTTCTAAACAATCAAATTGGAGCCCACCTTCAAATAGTGTCGAGAAATGTGGTTTCAATATTGAAAATGTTTGTGATAGCTTTAAAATATATTTTTAACTTTATTTATAAATTTAAAATTTTAAAAATAGTGTAGATCAAGCATATCTATGAAACCTTGAAAATCATAAAAATTGACAGTCCAAAAATACATTACAAGATGTACTGTTTCCAAAACTTGAAATCTATTTTTTTATCAGGTCCATGCATCTTGATGTTGAAATGATCAATTTGAAGACATTTAGGCATCAAAACAACCTCTTCTAGTGAAAGTTCTGAGGTAGGTTCTAATTTGATTGTTTAGAGCCAATTATCAAATTGGATGGCTTGGATTGTGTCACAAAGTTCAAAAAATTTCTTTTGGAACTTGGTATAAAAATAAATAAACAATTGTTTCATGCGGACTGGATCGCATTTGTACAATATGTCGTCCAGAGGTATAAAGCATCCATCTTTCCATCTAAAAATAATTGTAACTAAAGATCCAAATGTTTTCTTAATGTAATTAGTATTTTTATTTTTCAAAATTTGTTTATTTATTCATATTCATGATCTCCATGTTAAAGATTATACATTCTCTAAAATTTAGGATCAAATTATATTTCAAAAATATATCTATTGCCAATCCTGCATTTCTACATGTGCGGGCTTGGCCGCAAGCTAACCGCATCCTCATCTAATATCTACACCATGTTCTTGTGATATAATAAAATGAAAAAGGTTTCTATACTTCCCCTACAACATAGAAAATATATACTTCCGCCTATCCAACCATCCATTCTAAATGGACGGTTGAGATGGCCGCAAGCACAATGTCACGTTTCTACACTATTTTATTTTTAATTTTTTCTATAAAATATTTTGACACCAAATTTTAGGCATCTACTCCTCTCCTAAACTTGCACTTGTAAATAATATAAAAAAATATTCCCAATAAAATAAAATAACCAAAATATCCTTGAAAGCTTCTAAGGGTATTGTGGTCATTATATTTTATCAAAAGATTCTTTTTAATATTTTGTTTAGGTGCGCCCTATTGAGGAGATGGAACGTATCAATTTTCATAATTATAAAATTTGCAGAAAAAAAAAGGAAAAATAAAATACTATGAGGCATTGGATCTAAATACCCCCGAAAATATTAAAAAAAATGAATCGGTGACCCGAATTGGTGACCTAAAAAACTGTGTTGGATCGAGGGATCGGTGATCTACATAGGAGAATCGGCCAGTTTCAGTCCAATTTTTTTAAAAAAAAAATACTAAAATTTCTCAAAAATCTATTTTTTAGGTTTCTAAAAGAAATAGTGACAATTGCCTTATAGTTTTTTATTATTGTGTCAAAAATTTCGTTATTATGTCAAAAATATATTAATACCAATAACATGTCTCATGTTGAGTGTTGGTTGTTTATTAAATTTATTTTAGAATCAAAATAAAGTTTAAAATACAACATAACAATAAAATGAATCTCTCTAACTCAATTTATTTATTTATTATTGTATTAACTTAGAAGTTCTGACTTTTTAAAAAAGCTAATATGAAACAAAATTAATGGAAGATGAGAGAGAATTTTAGTTTTAAAAAAGCTAATATGAAACAAAATTAATGGAAGATGAGAGAGAATTTTAGTGGAATTATTTGTTTAGACTACTTAAGAGAGAGAGAGAGTTTTAATGGCATTAATCTTATTGAAATTGTGATGGAATAAACTTTATAGAGAGAGTGGTTCTTAGGGTGGCAAGGGAGACGTTCTTAGGGTGGCAAGGGAGAGGTTTTTGGGGTGGCAAGGGATAGAGGGAGATGTTAATTGAAACATAGGATGTTGATGGAAATTTTTTAATAACTTCGGTCAATGGCATGCCCCGAGCTCCTCTAGTTTTATATACGTGCTAGAAAGGATTTCATTGTACAATTTTGAGAAATAATTTTTTGGAAAAAGTTTATATAAGGTTGCAACTAGAATTATAGATGCACTTCAAAAATTTATTGAAAAATTGTTTTAATGTTGAAAAAGCTTTTAATTAGTCATCTCGACATCGAGATGTCTTAATATAAAAAAAAGAAAAAAAAAAAGATTTTGAGTCTTAGAAATAGTGCATTTTGTAACACATTATCATGACCGTCCATTTTAAAGATTTTCATATGTTTATAAATCTACTTGATTTTTATCACTTTTTTAGTTAAAATTTTTATAATTAAATATAAAAATAAATATTTCGATAATCCCAATAATTTTTTACATTAAAATTACATGTTATGATAAAATTTGGAGGTGCGTCTTAACTGGATTGTTTAAAGTTGCAACATTATAGAAACCACACCCATAAGGAAATATTGACTCCTCTCACATCCAGAAAGGAACTTTGACAAGAAAAAAAACGGATCTATCTCTCTCGCTCTTGGTCAAGGAAACGCCAAAACCCCAAAAACCTACGGCACCACAAAAAGAGGAATCGTTTGGAATAGTGCATCTTGTAATGCATTATCCTATAATCTATTGAAATATTTTTTTATTTTTTACAATTTGATTCAAACCCGCTGAATACATTAAAAATGATTTAATACATTGAAAAATGAATAAATAGATTAAAAAATAATGAAATATTTTCGACCATGTCGATTTAAATGATTAAATCTCTTTTTGAACCTCATTTAATACATTCAATGTGGAAAAATGATATGAATGTTTTGAATTTCTTTACAAAAGAGATTTGGAAAAAAAAAGTTTCTCTCCTGCTCTAGTTTTTTATGGTCCAACAGTAATAAATTTATAGAAAGAAACTACCCTAAAACCTAACTTGTTCCCAAAAAAATCCTCGTCAATATCAAATCATAACCCCTTTACCTTTTTTTAAAAATGGACTTTCCATTATATACCTTAATTCTCTTCAATTGAAAAACATACAAGTACTAAAAGAAAACTATGAACCTGAAATAAACCAAACCTAAATGTCAATATCTTAAAACTAAATAAAATAAAAATAAACATAAGAACCCTAATTACATCATTCTCCTAGGGTTGGGAGAAGCTTGACTTGAGCTTGTTGAATTCCTCGTGTCCTCTCTAATAAAATTTCCAATAGTTGTTAATGAAGTCACACTATTCGTCTGGGTACTTTGTCTTCTTCAATGAACCTATTAATCATTGTTGTGCAGCTTGAAAAGAAACTCAAGGATGCCAATCTCAAATTTTTTTTCTTTTTTATTTTTTTTTCAGCTCCTCATATAATTCTGCAATCTCGATATTGATATTAAGATGATGTGGATGTTCCTTAAATCGTAGTTCTTACATTGTTGAATATGATGATATCCAAAAATCACCCACATAAAAAAATCTCATATTATGTGGGATTGATAAGTTTTCTAATGGAAATAGAAATCCAAAAAGACTACGACTCTGAGATATATCTCTTGGTTTTAAGATATGTAGTATATTTATGTAGTACTTCTTATTTGATGTACGTGG